ACACACACATGGACACATGTACCTATGCACTCATGTGCCTTGCATGCCTACATGCACATGGACACATGCACCTATGCACTCATGTGCATTGCATGCCTACACGCACATGGAGACATGTACCTATGCACTCATGTGTATCGCATGCCTACATACACATGAACACATATAACTATGCACTCATGTACATCCCTGAGGTGTGAACATACTATCCTTCAAACCTGCAGGAAGCTGTTGTAGTGCCATATAGTTGAGAGTGAGCATTTATCACACTGCTGATTCTGTAAAGATTAGCTCCTGTTAGCAGCTTCCTCATCTCCGAGGAGGAACATAATTAACAGTAAGACCTCACTGTGGGCCCGAAATGGTACTGCTTGCCAAGCACTGCTTCATGCACGTTTAGTGCTTGGGAAATGCTATACTCTGATAACTAGCTCCCTCCTTAATCCTGATACTCTTCTTCCATGCCGGAGGTACCCATTTCAAATGTGAAGGAAACTGAGTCACAACAGTGATGGGGGGAGGAAGGGCTGGTTCTGCTTGCATCTGCTGTCTCCTTAAATGGGCAGGGCAAGTTAGGACTCTTTCTCAGTCTGAAGCAAATAGGGACTATTCCATCATGTCTGCAGCACTCCCAAGAAAGAGTCTCCTGAATAGGCTAGAGAAATAGCTCAGCAGGTAAGGCGCTCACCATGTATCCTGGAGATCTGAGTTTCATCCCGGGGACATACATGGTGGAAGGAGAGAAGTGGCTCCTGCAAGTTGTCTTCTGATCACTTCATGAGAACTTGGGGCAAGTGTGAGTACACACACACACACATATGCATGCACACACATATGCACACATGCACATCCACATGCACACATATACACACTCACATACACACAAACACACTGCATGTGCACACACGCACATATGTACATATACACAGACATGCACACATACACACATGCACACATACACACATGCACTCACACACATGTATTCAAAAAATAATAGAGAAAGGGCCTTGTACTGTGCTTTGGGTAGACGTAGATCTTCCTCTGTAGATCTTGCTTCAAGCAAGCATGCCCAAGTAGTGCCAACTCCCAGAGCACGTGGGCAGGTGTCAGAGGAATTGGCTATATGCCTCCGTTATTTAGCACCTCACTAATTGATTATTTTGCATGGAAATGTGCTAAAACTATCAATGTAGTATGTGTTGATAGCAGAAAGAAATAGAGCTTGTTACAAGTAATTATTTTTGAGTACGTACTGGGTAAGAGACACTGCGCCTGGCAAGGACAGACCATTTCCTGTGCCCAGCAAGCAGGCTGGCGTGGATCCTGGTCTACCACGCTGATGAATGCTTATCGGTGGTTGCTTCATCGTAACTTACGGTATAATTTAGAACAGGAAAGTTTGGGTTGATTAAGAATAAAAAACGAGGGCTGTGGAGATGGCGCATTGATAAAGCGCTTGTCGAATAAGCCTGGGGACCTGCTCAGGGTGTAGTAATGCATGCTCATGACGGAGCACTGGGGAGGCAGAGACGGGATGTTCCCGGCTCAGGGGCCAAACAGCCTGGCCCTGTTAGTAAGCTGAAAGATCCTGTCTCAAACAAGAACAAACATACCTAGAAAAACATCAAAGATTGGCCTCAGGTCTCCACATGCATGTGCAAACACACACACACACACACACACACACACAAAGGGGGGGAGGGAGAGAGAAAGAGAGAGAGACAGAGAGACAGAGACAGAGAAAGACAGAGACAGAGAGAGAGACAGAGAGAGAGAGAGAGAGAGAGAGAGAGAGAGAGAGAGAGAGAGAGAGGTGACCACAAAGAAGAAGCATGTGTAGAGAGGGCAGTGACAGGTGGCATAGCCAGCACACATGCCTGAGGTGTTTGGGTGTCACACCAAGGGGCTCACGGTACAGCAAATGCTTGGCTCATAGCTTCTGCTCTCACTTCTGCTGTGGAGTTTCTAGCTGGATCTAAGGATACACGTTCTCTAGCTGTTGGATTCTGATTTGTAAAAGGAAATGCAAATGCCTTGCTTCTAGTTTATAGTTCTTGTGTGTATGTGAGTGTGTGTGAATATATGAGTGTCTGTGAATGTATGAGTGTGTATTTGTGTGTGTGTGGTATATGTGTCCATGTTGTACGTGTGTCCATGCGAATGCACAGAAAATCTTGAGGTCAGTGTCAGTGTCTTCCTTTAGTGCTGTCTACCTTTTCTCTCTCACTGAACCTGGAGTGTCCTGACTCAGCCAGACTGACTAGCCTGTAAACGCCAAGGATCTGCTCGTCTCCATGACCTCAGCTTCAACGCTGGGGTTACAGATGTGCACCACCATGGTTAGATTTTTTTTTCTTTTCTTCCAGTTATGAGTGTTTGCTTACATGCATGGTACGTGCCATGTGTGTGCCTGGTGCCCACAGAGGCTAGAAGGTGGTGCTGGATCCCCCACTCTGAAGTTACAGGGAGTTGTGCACTGCCATTGGGACATGACAGCCTTTGCAATGGCAGTCAGTGCTCTGAATGGCTGAGCCATCTCTCCAACCACAAGTCTGGATTTTTGTATGTGTGCTGAGGATCTGAAGTTGGTCTTCATATTTGTGTGTCAAGCACATTACTGCCTGAGCTGCCTTCCCCACTCCTCACGTCTGAGACATCCGGGATAGTCTATTCAGCACCGTGAGGGAAGCATCTGCCTCATCTCCTGGTGGTACAACTGGGCATCAGCCTTGCCTGCTCCTTTTGTGTAGACACTTGGGTGTTGTGCACTCTTCCACAATCCCTCAGAGTGCCTCATGAGGAAAACAAGAGCTTACATACCAAAAGCCCCAAGAAGAAAATCAGAAAAATACCGCTCAGTAGTTTCCAATCTGTCTTCTTCTGGTAAGTCCTCCAGTGGGGTGGGAACATCTATGGGAAGCATCATGGGGCTGTACCAGTCACTTCTGTGGAGGAAGACACAAGCAATGAGGACCACCATGCATCAGCACTCACGCTGGCCCCTGTGTGGTTTGCTGTGTTTGTTTGTTTGTTTGTTTTGACACAGAGTCTCGAGTATGCCACATAAGGATTAAATTCACTCACACTTAGCTGAGGATGGCCTTGAACTTCTGACCTTTCTGCTTCTACCTCCCAAGTGCTGGGTTTACATATGGGACATTGCTATGCCTGTGCTTATGCTTTGTTGGGGATGGTACCCGGGACTTTGTGCATGTTAGGCAAATATCTTACTAACTGAGCTACATCCTTAGCCCCCAGAATTTATATATATAACGTAGTGTGTGGAAGTAGTGTGTGGATATGTGTGTGCATGTTTGCATGTGTATGCACCTGAGGGTGTAGATTGCATGCATGTGCCAGTGCAGCCCAGAGGACTGTCTACCTTATACATCCAGACAGGGTCTTTCATTGAACCCAGGTCACACTGAGCTGGCTGGCCTAGCTAGCCAGTTTACACTGAGGCTCCCTTGTCTCTGCCTCCCGAGTGCTGGGCTTATAGGCACAGCCCCATCTTGTCCAGCACTTTCATGGATGCTGGGGATCCAAACTCTTGTCCTGATGCTTACATGACAAACACTTTGCCTCTAGAGATATAACTTATTATTTTAAAAGTATCGAGGGCATTAAAATAGTTGAGATAAGGAGAATTCTTTTTAAAAGAACTTTTTGTGTAGTTCTTTGTTTGGGAAACACAAGGATGCTCTATATATTGAGAAAATATCATTAAATCAGCAAGAAAGTGGAATTAAGAAACAGAAACAGTTAGTTCCATAGTGACAATACAGGGGAAGAGATAAAAAGAAGGATGGACAGGATTGTTAGTGCTTAGGAGTCCTTTCTGCTCTGCCAGAGGACCTGAGTTCAGTTCCCAGTACCGATGATGACTGGTACCTCTAACTCCAGCTCCAGGGGATCTGGCGCCCTCTTCTGGATGCCACAGGCACATTCCCCCACAAGAACAAGCACATATTTAAAATAAAAATCAAACAAACCTTTTTTTAAAAAGTAAGAAAAACCGGGGGAGGGTGGAGGGAGGTGAGAGAGGAGGGGAGGGAGAAGATTGGGGGAGGAATGTAGGGACAGAGCAGGGGAAGGAGGAATGAGGGACAGAGGGAGGAAGGAGGAGGAAGGGAGGGAGGGAGAGAGATGGAGATATATTGTAGGTGGATGGGGGGAGTGGGCAGGGGTGCGGATGGGATGAGAACAGAACGGATCAGGTTTGGGGGGATGGAGGGAGGGAGTACTAGGAGATATGACTGTAATGGGGGGTCATCTCTGGAACGAGCTAGAATCCTAGGGCAACAGAAACCCCCAGGAATCTATGACGGTGACCCTAGCTAAGACTCTTAGCAATGGGAGATATGGAGCCTGAACAAGCCATCTCCTGTAGCCAGGCAAGACTTCCAGTGGAGGGACTGGGACACCAACCCAGCCACAAAAATTTTGACCTACAATTTGTCATGCCCACAAGGTGTGCTGGGGTAAACGTGGTACAGAAATTGTGGGAGAGGCCAGCCAATAACTAACTGGTCCAGCTTTAGACACCCCTGACACTGCCTAGAGGGCCATGACCCAGAGGCTGGAGAGCCCAGGACTGCCTTCTAGAAACTTCCCTCTGACCTCCACATCACTGTGACTTGCTCCTTCCCCTCCAAGATTAAAATAAAAAAAAAAGTAAAAATATTCAAAAGTGATTTGGAGTAAATAAATGCTTAATGGCCATGCTGTGTGATTTAACAACACACAGATAAATCTCAGGTTTAAAAGACTCCAAGGGTGACTCCGTAATTGAAGGTCATTTATTCAGGCAAAATGGCTTTGAAGTTGAAAGCTCATGAATAGACTTGCAGAACTTACTGGAGCCTAAAGGTCTCCCCTTCTAACCCCTGTGTCCCTGATACCCACTCCTAATGTGTTAATGTGTGGAGACAGAAGTACTGGGAGGCGATTGGTTCGTTAGAGCCCAGTCTCACAGCTAGGTTAGAGCCTTTAGAAAAGAAACCCTGGAGAGCCTCACTCTTTCGTCTGTGGGAGGTCACAAACAAGGCTTCCGGGCCAGCAAGATGGCTCCTGTCACCAAACCTGACCGCATGAGTTTAATTCCTGGGACTCCTATATGGTGAGAAGAGAGGACAGACCCCCTCAAAGCTGTCATCTGTCCACCACATGTGTGATATGGCCTGAGTGTACCCATACCACTCACACATGCACAGAAATAAGTAAAAATAGAAAAGAAGGCCCTGTCTGGGAACCAGGAAGTAAGCCCTCACTAGACACAAAACCTGCCCGGTGCCTGACTTAGGAGAGATATATGTTGTTTTTAACCTGTGGAGACTACAGTACTTTGTTATAGCACCTGGATGGATTAATACAGAATTTAGAAAAAGAATTACCATTATTATTTATAACTGCATCTAGAAACAACAGCGTGACCGTCAATCCAACAACCAGTATAAACACATGATAGAAAAATAAAGATTTTTTTCCTTTTGAGGCAGAAGAATCTCATGTAGCCCAGGCTGGCCTTGAACTCACTGTGTAGCTGAGGATGACTTTGAACTCTTGACTCTCCTGCTTCCACCTCTCTGTGCTGTGGTTACAGATGTGTGCCACCTTGTCCAGTTTCTACAATGCTGGGGGTGGAGCCTACGGCTGTCACATACTTCCTGCCAGCTGAGCTGCACCCCTGCCTGGGCTCTGTTCCTGAGTTTTGAGCTATTATGCAATGGCAGGAACAAACTGACCCAACAGAGCACCCGGGCACAGAAGCAGAAGGCAAAAAGTCATGGCAGAAAGCTTTTCATTGATATGACTCATGTTTAATGCATGGCTATTCCAGGCCATGACAGCCTCCTCCTGACTTCCCACTAAAACAACAGCTTTGGGAGATGTTGCCAAGGACATTGCTTTGGAAAAATGAATTGGCTAGTTTTTAATACTTGGAATCCATGTATGTTAATCTTGGGTGCACTGCAGTCCAGACACAACCCCAGACCCAGGGGAAATCTAGCTTGCTGATTACGTGTGTCAACTTTTTTTCCCCCACTGTAGGGGTAAGGATGCGAGACAAGAATTTTACTACTAAGTTATGCACCAGCTACCATATGGGTCTATCTGTATCAGGCTTGTCTGTGAGCATGCCTGTGTGTATATGGAAGGAGTTCTTGATTGTTAATTGATCTAGGAAGACTCAGCCCACTGTGAGTGGCACCATGCCTTAGGCAGCATATCCTGAAAGAGCAAGGATTCTGTCCTGCCTGCTCTTGGCTGTGGATGTGATGGTGCTTGAAGTTTCTGCCTTGACCTTCCTGCAGTAACAAGATGTAACTTGGAATTGCAAGCCAAACAAACCATTTCTTCCCTAAACTGCTTTGTGTCAGGGTATTTTACCACCGCAACAGAAATGAAACTAGAACAATGGGTCAGTTTGATTCATTCAGTGTTCCTGTAAAATGAGTTGGTTTTGGGGGACTGATGCTGCCATCTAGTGGTAAGAGAATGATTGCACCATTTTGAGAGCTCGGGAAACCGCAATTCTCAAAAGCAAGCATCAGTCAGATCCTAGATACTTCTTCATATAGCCAATTGCAACATTGCAGTGGAGTTCTCATCATAGCCCCTGTCTCACAAAGAGGAAAATAACTGCTCAAAGGGCCCAGGAAATGACTCAATAAAGTGTTTGCCGTGCAAGCTTGCAGACCTGAATTTGATCCCAAGAACTTGATTTCTAGCCTCTGAACATACTTTTAAAAAGCTGGGTTTGGTGAGGAACACCTGTTATCCCACAGTGGAGGAGGCAAAGACAGGCGGCTCCATTGGTAACATGGCTGGCTACCCTAGCAGAATTATAGGCGGCTCCATTGGTAACATGGCTGGCTACCCTAGCAGAATTAGCTAGCTCCAGTTACTAATAAAAGACCTTATACCAAAATAAATAAGTAAATACATACATTTAAAAATAAACAAAAAGTTGCAGTTTATGACGAGGACACCCAAGATTGCCTTTGCCCCCCCATAAGCATGTGCACACATGGGCATGTGTGCCTGAATACACACACACACGGAGGGGGGAGAGAGAGAGAGACTCACTCACTCCATGAACCATAAAGAAAAAAACATGAGTATTTCAGCTGAATTATATGATCAGTTAATTCTCTATCTGTGCCACCAATTAGCCAGCATTACGTTACTTTTAAAAGGCATATCTTGATTAAGATAAATTCAAAATATGAAAATCAGTTATCTATCATCGTATCTCCATGGTAGGCAAGCCCCCTCCCCCCCCCCGCCATGGTTTGAAAGCATGAATTGAAAGTGTGGTTTGTCACTGTGACCTTTGATTCCGGGGTCTCCCAGCCTCTGTAAGCTACAGTGCTAACATAACCCCAGGAGGCCATCAGTTCCCAGCTTACCTCTGAGTCGTTTCTGCCCTAGAGGCATCAGACATGGAGGAGAACACCAGGGGCTGGAATTTCTTCCAGTTCATGATTCCAGGAATTATATCCTGTGATGAAAGTTGGTACAGGGTCAGAATGCAGAAAGACAGTGTTAGCTGTGAGAGCTAATATCTACTGTTAACTTGACAGCATCGAGATTCATCTAGAAGCAGACCTCTGGGAATGTTTCTGAGGATTTTTAAAAACTGGATGAATTGAAGTGGGAAGACCCACCCTAACTGTGAGCAGCATTGTCCCGTAGGCTGAGGTCGCAGACTGAGTACAAAGGAGACAGTGAGCTGAGCCCAGCATCCCTTGCTCCAGGCTTCCTGACTGTGGATGCCATGTGGCCAGCTGACTAAAGCTCTTGACATCATGCCTTCCTTCCTTAGGTTGCTTTTGCCGTATGTTTTGTTATAGGACCAAGAAAAGTAACTAACAAAGATATGTCTTAGCCTTCATCTCACTAAGTTCCAAAAGGTTCGATCCAAATGTATCATCTCATTAAACTTGGCTGACTCTCTAAAGCAAAGACAGTAGTCTAGTACAGGGCATGTGGTGATGAGCAAGGGCAGATGCGGCCTCCCAGGCATTCAAAGAGGTCAGGCGGCACCCAGGCAGGGAGGACAGTGCAGGGGAATGCTCTGGCAAGATGACAACCTATTAGGTCACCAGTGGTCCATCTGAGCGAGGCAGGGAACACAATGGAGATGGTACCTGTGTGGCTAGAGAGGGAGGCAGGTCATTGTGGACTTGAGGGACAAACCAGTGGAGCTGCACTGTGGGCAATGGATACACATTGAGAATCGCTGTGTGTGTGTGTTGTGTGTATGAGAGAGATTTGTGTGTGAGAGAGATGTGTGTGTATGTGTGTGTGAGAGAGATGTATGTATGAGAGAGTTGTGTGTGTGTGTGTGAGAGAGATAGAGTTGTGTGTGACAGTTGTGTGAGAGAGAGTTGAGTGTGTGAGAGAGAGTTGTGTGTGTGAGAGTTGTGTGTGTAAGAGTTATGTGTGAGAGTTGTGTGTGTGAGTTGTGTGTGTGTGAGAGTTGTGTG